CTCTCTCTCTCTCTCTCTCTCTCTCTCTCTCTCTCTCTCTCTTTGTGTGACATTTGCATCTGACAGCTCCTTACTCCATACTCACACCGGGATTTCTTTTCCATGTATCTGTCTGTCGGGGTGTATCTTCCTATGTTCTTGCGGAAGATTCCTTCTCATTTTGCACAATTGCAGGCTGCGCAGTTGATGTTCACATGAAACTGTTGAATTCTAGACGTGAGTTCGAATCCAGCGACGACCACAATAAAATAGTTCTGATTTACAAAGGATCCGACGGTGTGCTGATGCCTTGGCCGATGCCCCCACGAATGCTGCACGTCCAGATAATGGTTGTGCCTGGGGTGGGCCTGGCCGCACAAGGAGGAGGAGGAGGTCGCGCGAGGGGGAGGAAGGGTCGCACGAGGGGTAGGAGGAGGTCGCACGGAGGTCGTGCAAGGGGGAGGAGGAGGTCGGAAGAGGATGTGCGAGGGGGAAGTGCAGATCGCGCAAGGACGAGCAGGAGGTCGCGTGAAGGTCGTGTGTACGTCGGAAGAGGTGGGAGGAAGTCAAAAGAGGGGGAGGAGGACGTCGCACGGAGGCCGTGCAAGGGGGAGGAGGAGGCCGGAGGACGATGTGCGAGGGGGAAGTGCAGAGGCGGAGGTCGCACGGAGGTCGCGCAAGGGGGAGGAGGTCGAGAGACGATGTGCGAGGGGGAAGTGCAGATCGTGCAAGGATGAACAGGAGGTGGCACGAACGTCATGTGGGGGTCGGAAGAGGTGGGAGGAGGTCGTCCGAGCGGGATGAGGAGGTCAGAAGAGGACGCGTGAGGGGGAGGAGGAGGTCGCGCAAGGAGGAGGAGGAGCTGGAGGAGGCCGGAAGAGAGGTGGGAGAAGTTTGCACAAGGAGGAGGAGCTGGAGGAGGCCGGAAGAGAGGTGGGAGAAGTTCGCGCAAGGGGGAAGAGGAGGTCCGAAGAGGATCTGCGAGGGGGAAGTGAAGGTCGCGCAAGGACAGGGCGGAGGTTGTGCGAGCAGGAGGAGGTCGCACAACAAGAGGTCGTGGGAGGGGCAGGAGCAGGTTGCACAACGGGGAGGAGAGGTTGCAGGAGGTCATGCGGG